CACTCCATTTATTTTAAAATATTTGTCATCAGTCATGTTTGACGTTACACAACCTCATAAGCTGATTCAGAGCCGTAATGAAAACAAATCAAGATTCCTATAAAATTCGCTTTTTGTTGATGATGAACGACACATTTAGGCCTTCACGAGGGTGTTTGAGAGCAGGGTGTTGAGAATATCTGGACCGAAGAGAGATGAAGTGACAAGAGGTTGGAGAAAACTGCATAATGAGGAGCTTCATAACTTGTAGTCTTCTCCAAGTATAATTAGAATGGTTAAGTCAAGGAGGATGAGATGTGCAGGTCATGTAGCACGAATGGGGGAGACCACAGGGAAGACCAAGGCATAGGTGGGTGGGCATTAGAATGGATCTTAGAGAGATAGGATGTGATGGTATGGATTGGATAGATCTGGCTGAGGATAGGGACCAGTGGAGGGCTCTTGTGAACATGGCAATGAACCTTTGGTTTCCATAAAATGCTGGGAAATTCTTGAGTAGCTGCAGAATTGGCGGCTCCTCCAGAAGGGCTCAGCTCCATGAGAAAGTAAGTAAGTAAGTTCTTGGGCCAACTCAACACTGTTATTAATATCAGTCAGTGAAATGGTGGTAGTCTTCGATACCAGACATACTGAGTCATAGTCTGTCCATCAAGGAAATAACTATTCTTGAAATGAACGGCTTCTCAGAGTGTGGTAAGTTTTCAGTAATTCAGAATTAAACTGTAACCGTTGTCACTTTCAGCTACTGCAAATATTCTGATGCTCCACTTTGTTGGCTTCTTTTTATTTTAAGTTTTTAAAATTATTTTGCAGTTGAATCCAACTGTTGATTCACCTATTACAATGTTTCTACCTGGCATATTTTTTTTTTAAATTGTTTCTCTATATGTTTTATTACCCCGTGTACTTTCTTGTCTTGTTGATGGACCAATTGCTTTATTCAGTGGCATCATTTCCCCACATGCATTATCACCCACTGTCATGTCTTAACATGCCGCAACACTTGTTTTGCTCTCATTCTCACTTTCTGACATTTCGTTGCTCAATTCTTCACTCGCAGTTTCTCCTTCAATTTCCCAATTAATCTCATTATCATAGTCAATATCGAATTCTTCACTTAACATATGGCTACTAGATGCTTCATCTGCATCACACAAGGGATTATATCTAGTTTCTTCCATCTGGAGGGCCATGGTTCAGCTGAATGTAAAAGCATGCTACTAACAAGTGACACGCTGAAATATATAAATGGCATTTGTTCCTCAAGAAGTTCAAATTATGACTTCCAGATGGCAGGAGGAGGCAGACAAGACATTCATGCATGTGTTTCTACAGCCTAGAGTGCCAACTAGTGATACTTACTTACTCATGGAGCTGAGCCCTTCTGGAGGAGCCGCCAATTCTGCAGCTAACCAACCAGTGATACATGATCAAAATATGACCGCAGAAACACGAAACAAACTTTGTTGATAGTATATCGACATTTGTCCATGGAAGCACAGTCACCATGTCGATTATATTTCGATGTTTGACCAGAAAGGGTTAATTGACAATATAAACTTCCTTTCAGGATTTAAATTTTACTTAGGAATGAATACCAAAACAGTATTTTCACATGTTCAAACTATTTCCATCTGTACTTATCTGAACCATAATACAGGATCATTCTTATGAATACATGTTCATTTCCTGTCAGCTGGAACACAATTTTCTGAGGTTTTTTCATGGTAGTCCTTAGTCCCGCTATGTAAATACCTCAAATTAGGCCATAATCACTTCCATTCACATCTTTTCCAATTTATTATTCACTAATCACTCTTCCATTATGTGTTACATAATGTTGGGACCAGTGGCAGTCATTAAATAAACAGTTCTGTCTTCATAACCACTACTGTGAGAACTCAAACCCTTCTTCTTCTACCAGTTCATGGATTGAGTCATGACCTATTCCAATATGTTGTGCCAACCTTCTTGAACATCGAATGTCCTGTCTTCCAGTAGGATGATAAAAATATGCTTGCCATGGCAAATATTCAGGAGGCATCTGTTCTACATGACCCTGCCTGTTCCTTTGATATCCTTTTATCTGTTCCACAGTTCACTCTGTTCTTAATTTTTTTCTTAAATAAATAGTGCTTGTTTTATCTCAGTGAGATACATAGTAGTGGTTGCAGAAACCTTATTTCAGATTCTTTATATAAGAATTATTTAGTCTTCAGTTTTTAAGAAAGAGCTTTGTTTTCTTTACCCTCATCTCTAATGCAATGTGTTAGGACATGTCCATTATGAATCAGCACTGTATGTATAAGTAACCTTTTCATGCAGTGTGCAGAAATGAACAAGGCCAGCTATATCTCAAGCACTGACATCCTAAATGTATCAGAGAAGCTTCTGAAAGTACTCAAGAAATTATAACTGTACAGCTCATGTGGCCTCTTGGTGTGCTCATAATGGAATTGTACAATGGTTAGTACAACTGTTCCCAGTTGCAAGATTGCTCTGATGTCACAACCATATTCAGATGTTGGAATTCTTAAAATTTTGTATCTTTTTATGTTTTGTACAGTCTGAAGGAAATCCTTGTCAAGTGTATAGCAGCCATATGGTGGTAGTTCTGGCACTGAGCATGGCCAGAGTTATTAAAATGTAAAAGGTATCTTTACAGGGCCCTCCATTCTAAACCAAAAACCATGAACAATAGCAGACTTAATGGGAAGCCAAGTTCCGATTTTGGAGAAATAGAAAACATTTCTTAACCCCTTAATTTGCAGTGTCATGTAGCATATACCATAAATCTGAAGTTAACTTGCCAAATTGATAAGGCAATGTGGCAACAGAACAGATGTAGTATAAAGTGTATTCAGACAGAAAGTTTATCGTCAGCCACTTAACAAATGAAAGGAAGATAAAACAGTAACCATAACAGTATGAAAACTGAACATAGCAGACAAAGTAATATTTTCAAACGTTTTTGTCTTGTGTATCAATTCTAATAAAGGCACTCATTAATGAAACTGCACTGCATTTGTGACACCCCACATAATCATTAATCCTGAATTTAAATGTTTATGCAACTACTATTTATGTTATTGTTTTGATATTAGGATATAATTATACGATACCTGAGCATCAAAAACGGAAATAAAAACTCATGCACTTGAAACTGTCAATAACATTTTTCTATTCCATTAGTCTTCTATGTCTTACATGAATAGAAACAATACTCAGACTAATATTGACTGAAAAATTATCAACATCTTCAGTTAGTGTTGAGTCTTATCATTTATTTCTTCTTAATGCACTATCTATTCTATGCAGATTAAATTGAAAGACAGTGATATCACACCAGCTTCTTTATGCATTAAAATTTTACAGTTAAATAACAAATATCTGGCTCTTTAATTTGGGATGATTCATCATTGGCAGTTCTCAAACTGGCATCTATATACTATAACTCTAATGCATCATGCAAGGATGATGATTTAATTAAAAAGTGTTATGTTTACAATCACACATCAGCTATAATTTAACAATGTAATATATATGTATATTTACCTTATTTTACATTAAATTTAACTGCTCCAATTACATTATTTTTATCTCATTTTATGTATCTGTTGATCACACCTGACATTTCTGGTTGTCTTCCGAGCTTAGACTGAATTTAACATACTCAGTAAATAAATAATATTTCTATAATAGTTATGTAGTAATCTTTTTATATTATAATTTTAGGTAAATTTAAAAGATTCAAATGTCCTGAGTCAACTTTGAAAACATCTGAATAGCTGATTAACCTTCATCATTCAGGAACAGGTAATTTTAAATCCCCCAGTACTCTGATGCTAGGAGCAAGATTCTACACTGGGGGCAACATATCAACACTAAAAAATTGCAATGCTTGGCAGACTGCAGGCACATTCCATTACACTAGTGCAGCACATACCAATATAGGTTAATATCCTTGTTATTCCTAACACATTCATAGTTGTTCCTAAATTTCATACCACATCTTTATCTTATGTTTGAATTATTAAGTCATTTACATACACCTGTACAACTGTCTGAAAATTAAATGACAGTTGTGTAATCAATTTTACTTTTTTCCTTCTCTTAAATAAACCATAATTTTTACTAGGTTATGTTTAGTTTAAGAGCCGAAAAGTTTGTTGAAGATCCTGTACCACAAATAAGGGATTATACTGGCAGTGCCCATGACTTCCAAACAATGTGTACTGTAGGCACATCTTACCCCAAACCTTGAAGTTGTTTACCACTTTACAGCCCAGCTTTTTATAATGACTTGCTGTAAATATGTGGGAGTATCATTTTAAGAACAACTTTCTTTACAGCCCTATGATCTTTATTGAATTATGTCACTTTTGCATGTCCTAAATAACTTCTGGATTTATTAAACATAGAATAGCATGGTAAAGAGATATGGTCACATAAACACTGCTACTACAGTACACTGCTCTCCATAAACCGTGCAGTGCTATTTGTCAGACCAGAAGAAACTTATAATGATCATCAAATGCTGTTTTAAAACCAAAAATAATACAATTTCAAGTATTCATTGTTATCCTACATCACTTTAGGAACAAAGAACACACCAGGGATTTGTCTACAGTTGATTTAATGTCCTTCCAACTCTTAGAAAAGCAATCAGTTAAGAAATTCTTATTTATGTAAATCTAGATGTATGGAGAAGCTGGTGCAAGAAAGAAATTGGATCCCTCTACAGTACATGGGTTCAAAATGTGTATATTACAGATGGAATCTCCATATTATGTGGTCTCAACACAGATATGAGCAGAAATGAATATATCATAAATCATAGCTCCCAATGGTTTTGGTTGTGCTTATCCTCAGTTTCAGTTTTATATGTTGTCATTTTTCCAAATTACTACTGTAGTAGGCTTAATATGGAAAGTAACATACCAGAGTTAAGTTTACTCCATTAAAAATAACTGTATGTATATATCTTGCCAACTAGATATAGTACCTCTTTCCAAGTCATGTAAAGGTTATATATCTGTGGTCCATCCATACAAAGAACAAGTTTCATTCTGAAAACAAAAGCTGGAATACGAATGTGAAGTCAGAACAGGCTTTGATTGCTTAAGTGAAGAACAAAATAATCTGGTTAATTTTCAAGTCTTTTGAATGAAAAAGTTCACCTTTTTTTCATAAAGAGAATTAAATGCAAGTCAAGGTATTCAAAATCATATAATCTTTCAGCCCCTTCTCATCTGTAACATGTCCATACGTTCTGCTGTACCCCAACACCAACAAGAGAGATGATAGGAGCTCCAAAGAAACTCCGTTATCACTTTCTTCATCAAAGTATGACTGCAATATGTTCTAATTCCCATTATCTTGCTTTGTTCTTTTTACATAAATTCAAATATAAATATAAAGGCTATTACAAACACATCCCCCAAAACTCTCAGAAACATATAGAAAGCTACCACTGATTGTGACAAAAGAATCTATATCGGTTTGATTACAGTTGATTACTCATTTGATTTGCCTGCCCTCTGGACTCTTAAGAAGCAACAGATATAATACTTTGAAGCAAGACACACACAGAAAATCAAAATACCAAAACCTGATAAATGCCAGCATAAAGAAATGTACATTCCCTCTGCTTTTCACTGTGAAAAACATTTACAGTAACATTGAAATATAATAAATTCTTTTAAAATCATGGATGTACATCTTCTATACATAACAAGACAAAATAACTCCACTGTAAAACCGCAGATACATGAACATATGTTGATACATACTTTATACTGTGCTTGTAGAGGACTCTTGCAACAGATGTGAATCATGAAAATGTTATTCATATGAAGCAAGAGAAATACTGCAACAGTTACTACAAAAAATATCACCTTCCAAATGGACTTTCAGCTAGAAAGTGCTCAAATACTATCGTAAGTTATTTTGACAGCATTATTATAAACTTTTTTTGGGGTAATATACATGTCCTCAATTCACTTCTTGTCAGTATGGTATGTGGTTTATAGCAAACACCTCCAGGTATGAATCTTGGCCCCCTGCCCAAACAGAATCGAAATGAATCCATTTCTGAAGTAAGAGCAAAAATGAGGCAGATTCTACTATTCCTAACAACTGCGAAAAGTCTACTAGATGAAGGAACCAGACTTTTAACCATGGTGGAGATCTGCATATTTCTAAATTCATGCTTTAGAAGAGGTAAAAACATCAGCCTGTACACAGCATATCTACTCTTATACTGACTAAGGGTCAAATATAAGCTCAGAGGTTGGTTTCTTACTGTGAGACCACCAGGTCTCCAGTTTCTACCAACAACACCATCCTATGTATTCATTGCACAATAGAGCTACAGATGTATTAAGAGGTTATTATGTAATCATCATTAATTTGAGTTACTATACCTTGCATATTTACATATAATTTGTAAATAATTTGAAGAATAGAGACAACAGAATTTCCTCCACTTGTAAACTTGAACAGGTACAAGAATAATTGGGTAAAAAACTGTGCTCAGGACTGCACATATCTACAATAACTGACTATCTTTCTGCAGTCAAATTGCCTTACTCAGTACAAGCTGATTTCCACCCACAGTTAGAGTACAAAGTCTAGAACTATTAGTTCCTCAATGAGTATGTTTCACATGGATTAAACTATCCCAGTTCAAACATTCAGGATGTGAATGCCAGTCTAGCTTGGAAGATACTGCTGAAGTGTAATAATGATCTGCTGACAATGTGCTACGTACAACAATGAGTACAATAACATTTACACAAATTCTTATTTATAATGTCAAGAGGAATCTCCACTATTTTTCCTCTTAAGTCACACATACATATGTGTATGTATGACAGACTTTTGACAATATTCATACATATCTATGACATAATTAGGCAACACCTTCAAAATTGAACCCAACTGGAATTGCTAGGCGGCACGCTGAAACATAAAAAAAAAACAATATACTGAAATTAAAAGCAACGTCAATGAAATGGCATAGCATAAGTAGCCTCAAACAATGCATATTCTTTGTTCATATGACACTCAGAAAACTCACCTCTGTCTAATGCCAAGATTATGAATATGTGAAGCTTCACTCCCTTATATATCACCAAGATGTGATGCTTAATTATGCATAAGGATTTTTACCTTGGCACTCAAGAGACTCACTTGCTAGTCACTATTTGGACATCATGATGTCCACACTGATATAGTAATAAACATAGACTCTTAGCCTGCTTTGTATGTTCCTTAAATGTGACAAGACATTTATATTAAAATGAAAATTACTGTATATTATGGACTAATGATAATGCACCAAATTCCTGCTATTTAATGAAAGTATATTTTCCCATGATTGGTGAGTAAACATACGTGAGTTTACATTTTTGGGATACATTTAAAGCAGAGAACTGTTTATATGTCCGGTGGCTCAGGCTTCCCTTATACCCAGTGTTGAAACTAAGGTCTGTGTTTGTTTTAATAAAAATATATAATTTATTTATTTATTTACTTCATATCCATTGATCATTATACATGATATAGGACAAGTTATAAATATAAAATATTTCACACCTTGGTTGGGCTGCACTAGCAAAATCTCCCCATGAATCACCTCCTGCAGCTGCAGGCCTTGCTGGAACTGGCTGACCTCCATGGGCACCAGCACCAATACCCAATATCAGATCTACGTTACTTGATGCCGAGACTGTAGTTTGCTTTGGGGATGCCTGATGTGAAGGTGAGGAAGTAGGGGTGGTTCTCATGCCACTGGCTGATGGTGGTGCTATCTTCACCCCACCAGGTGGAGGTGGCAAAATCCCTGAACTTAAACCACCAGCATTAGGTCTTGCTTTGGGCTTGCTCGGTACTTCACTACCATCCTTTTTCTGAAATCCAAAAATCATTAAAAACAATCTTTAGAAGACCTGAAGTTGTTACCTTCTGGGCAGTTCACACTTATACACCATGCTCAGAGTGCAGGCTGATTGGCCACTGATTTCACCATTGGCAGCTTCCTGCAAAAGCACTGCACCACTAGTCAAGAAAAATGCCACTGCACATTGTTTACTTCTTTCGTTAATAAATCAAATACAGCAATTAATACTGTACTCACCAACATAGAAAATGTTCAGAATATCTGCCCTCTGCTGTGAGAGTCTGAATTTTTTAAACAGATTTCAGGAAACTTGTTGCAATTCATGTTCTCTTAGTGGGGGGTGGAGTCCAATTGGGCCCACTTGGCACGGTGGCCACTGATTGGCCTACTGTAGCCTGCCCGAGGTGATTATGATGATGGAGAATTTGGTGGAATGAAGATTGGCAGGGGAAACTGAAGCACTCGGAGAAAACCCACCCCAGTGCCACTCTGTCCACCACAAATCCCACTTGACCAGACCCACGATCGAACCCGGGCTGCTGCGGTGGGAAGCCAGCGACTAACCGCTTGAGCTACGGCACAGCCTTATTGCAATTCACGTTGCTGAAACCCTTCATGAGTGTTCTGCTTTACAGCCTCCAAGTCATGTGGATTGTTGGCATACACAACACTTCTAAGTTTTCCCCACAAATAAAAATCACAGGGGTTTAGATCTAGGGACCTAGGGGACCACAAACCCTTGCCAATAATTTTATCCTCCCCATTTACTTTCTCGAAAACGCTGCGTAATGCTCGGATAGTTTTGTTAGCTGTGTGTGGAGTCGCACTGTCTTGCATAAAATAACAATCTTTCTTCTGCAGATGCCAAATTAAAGAAAAATTGATTGAGTATTTCTTTAACGTATTGTTGAGCATCAAGAGTTCCTTCATAAAATATCAGTTCGATGATGTGATCTGCGCTAATCGCACACCATATGCCTGTCTTTTGGTCGTAAATGGGAAGGTGAACTAGGGCATGAGAGTTTTCACTAGTCTAATAACTGCTGTTTTGTGAGTTAATATATCCCGAGAGATTAAGATTAGCCTCATCTGTGAAAAATGTCAGCTTAGGATCAATAAGTCCACCATTCACATGACTGATAAACCAATTACAAAACCTCACTCTTTTTTCATAATCCACATGTTTAACTGCTTTCCACGCACTGCCTACAGAAATACCACTTTGTTGCGCTAATCGCCACAAAGATTTTTGAGGAGAAATTTCTAACCATATCAAGTTTTTCCTCAGTTGAAACATGATTTCTTTTTCACTGCTTCCTGTCACTTACAATACCATGGGTTTGAACTTTCTTCACTAATCTGGAAATTGCATCTCCAGATGGACATGTTGTTTCAGGAAATTTATGGCAAAATTTTCTACTGCACAATTTGTACGAGTTCCTTTTCTCACATAACAATCATAAATGAAAAATCTTTGTTCTAAACTGCATCTCACATGAGCCATGAAGTCACAGAACACAGCACTATACAATGAATCTTCTGTAACACGTGGTGGTGTACCACTGACTGACTCAGTGATCAGGTGATTAACGAATGAATGAACTTCAGTTTGCCATGCACTCACACACTGTGCGCCGAAACAAATGACAACCGCCTGGACGTCTGACAAACCTGCACAATGAACACTTGGTATGTATATATTTGTCTGTATTTATGTTCAACACATTTTGGGCATTCTTCTGCTTTCCTTCCTTCCTTTTCATACTTGTAATATTATAAACAAAGTTTTTGAAATGATAAATTTATTTTCTTACATTTTACCAGCAATCCATCCCATAACTTCAATCCTATATGATTCCATTCATTCATTATATTGGTAAATATCTTACAAACCCAAACAAACAAAAACTTGTAGTTACTGAAAGGGCAGTAGAATTAAATGAGGCCTAGAATTTCTAATGCTTCCAACTTATTACACACTGACAATAACATACTGTGATTTTCATGTTGATCTTGATAGTTTCTCCTTCCTTGAAGCGAAGATCTAACTCCTGCTTTGGCACTTCTTTCTCCTTCTCAATTTCTTCTGACTTTTTGAGCCACTTGAAGTGATCTTGCAAAGCAACATTCATGTCAAAACTATCAGAACGATCTGAAAACCCCACTCCAATGAATGCTGATCGACCTGTCAACAAAGGGCCAAATCACTTAAAATTCTACCACCAGCCCACATTACTTTGCTAACCCTCCTCCTCACAAACTTATTGCTACATCACGTACAATAATTCCAGAGCAGAATTACATTACATGCCCTAAGTCCAGGAAGAAAAGCAAGAAGTGCTTAAAACTAAATAGTTGGCAGTTCTGTCACCAACTAACATACAAAGGAATTAATGTAATTGAAAGCCAGTTTTCATGCATCAGCCACATTTAGGGCAAAGGACCAGAAAGTGGTTTCTGCAATCACTGGACTGAATTCAAAAGAAGCTTGAAATGCTTAATGAGTCATAACTGTGAAATTCAACACAGTTTCTTCTACCAGAAAAAGTCTTTAAGAAATGTTATAGTGTCTTTGTTATTTACATTCTTTCTATTGGATCTTTAATAGTTTCTTATGTATAATACTGTGAAAAACGTTCTTAACCTGAAAGAAAAGTAATAGATATGGGGAAATTAGTCCTATTATGTTTATTTCTGATAGGTAAAAATTTCACTGAATTCATAATGGATGACAGAATACTATGAGCTAAGAAGCGGGGTTTAATTTTCTGTAGTGAAATTTAAGATAATCCTAGATGTTTAGGCATATTCAGATCCCTCTGGAGTGCCTATTAAAACTGTATGCATGAAAAAATGCAAAAATTATTCAATGGATTTTCATGATATTTGATATCAGTGTTTTATTAAAATTTGTTGACAGTCAAGTTTTGATTAAAACTGGACAAAAATTTTGGCCACTTTGCATAATTGTTTGCATGTGTTTTCAGAATGCATCGTGGACATAACACACTGAACATTTATTGGAGGAGAAAATGTCTGTAACAAAAATTGCAGAGAAAAAGGCAGGGCATATTTTATGTCCAACATGCTTTACTTAAGTCTCACCACTGTTTAGATAGTTATCCAACAGTGTGTGAGTGCCTCACAATTGTTCCACTCTGCATACATTTTCAAACTTGTTTTTGCTGACAAACAACAGTGGACTTTCAAACATATATGAAAATTACTGAAGTCTTTTATTATCAGTAATAATTAAATAAAGCTTACTCTCTCCTGAATTTATGGATCTACATACACATGTAAATATATAAATATTTAATTGAAATGTGATCAATTTTGACAAGAATTAAATAAAAGGGAGCAATGCCAGAATTGTTACATACATTTCCTAAATTCTTGAGTACTGAATTAAGGATGACTCTTATCTAATGTATGAGTTTTATTAAATCATAAATTTCTGTAGAATTTTGTTACAAATTTCTGCGAAGGTAAAACTAACAAACTACAATACTTCTAGAAATGCTCACTAAGCCTGCTTTCCTAATACACAGACTCACAGTCCTACAGATTACTATTATACTGTTATTTTATTTTTTGTAAAGAACTTATTTCTTAAGTGTAGATTTTGAATTAATTAAATTTGTCAGATACAACTTCGGTTGTGAACGATCTCAAAGCATGTTGCTGTTGACTTACAATTAATATGCCATAAACAATGTGTAAGCATGTTTGGACCTATCTCCATACCAAACTTCACATGCCTAGCTCCAATGGTTCATGAGTTATAGCCACCAAATCAAAAGCTAAAGAAAGCATTTATGCATCTGCTACATTGTTAGAAGTATTACTGACTGTAGAAAAAGTATGATGCTGAGGTAGCCATCAATGGCATAATATTCATATCAAGTTCTGTGAAAACTGATCAACTTCTTCAAAAACTGAACTAGGTGACATCATAGTGGTCTTACAAGCCAACCTTTTGTTCTTGGCTAAAAAGGATGCCATGCAATTCTTAAAAATTGTGAAGTGTTCTTAACCCTGAATTTGAGAGACTTGTTTACAAGTTAAATTGTTACCATTGTCATCTTGAATTCTCAGCACAAAGTACCGAGATGAATCAGTGACAGCCTCAATAGCAATTCCAGGATATTGGTCAATAGGGCATTTTGCAAAAAGTTCTCCTGTATTTTTGTCTTCCAGTTTCAATATGCAGTCTTTCCCTTTGGCAACTAATCTTAACCTTCCAGTCCATTGGGGCTCATTCAGGTTCCAGTCTGCTGCCCTGAAAATTATAAACAGACACAGATATACAGCAACGCTTCAACAGAAATGCTTCTTTAGTAGGGCAGAGAAAGTCTGTTTTGATTTGTTGCACATACATATTCACAAAATGTGTGCTGCAATACATATTTACTGGTGCTATACCCCTGTGTGGGTGTTGCCTCCTCCATGGTTTTGCAACAGTAAATTTTACCAGGGTGGGGTGATTAGCCTGACGCCCAACCCCTAATCTGGAGGACTGGGGACTACACATCATCATCTGGCCCCTACCCTTTGACCTGTAATAGCATGTGTGGCCCTACCAAGAGCTTATGTTCCCACCAGCATAGCTCTCCATGTCATTAATGTGTGCAAACCTCCTGTCACAACAAGGCAGTAGTCTTCAAGGAGGTACTGCAATACACAGCTTCTAATGTCAGGGTGATTTTACCTTCCATACTTTGTCCCTCAGATGCAGAGAGGAACACATTTATGTGAAATTTAAGTTATATATATAGTGTTACACAATGTGCCATTCTCAGAACAGTAGTTTTCAGTAGTTCCTTTTACAAAATGTATACCAAGAACATTTTCCAGATGTTTTGCAGGCAATTTTTAAATGCTTCTACTTGGTCGAACAAAAACCTCTCCTTAGATATCTCATAGTTATTGGGCACTTTTGTAATATGATACTCTTATTTCAGTATCTTTCCATTTTCTTCTTCACCACGCCTGGCAGTCTGTTATACATCGCAGAAAGAATTTAACCATCAAGAACAGAGCTAACAAACTGATTAATATGCTTCCATCAGGTATATTCTTACAAGCAGTATTAACTGCTGTCTCCAAGGTAAACTAATATGTGAAAGGATGTAAATATTGTCAAGGACACATAAGGATGTTTACCTGTAAAATATCAATAAAATTACATTCACAGTAAGGTAACAAAAACCATTTGCAGGTATAAAAATACCTGTATGAAGCATACTACTAGTCTATTGACGAGCAGTTTTCTTAAGTAGTTAGTAGATTTGAGCTGTATTTCTGGGGACTTGCACACTGTCAGTTATTTCACTAGTTAATTTACTGACTAAACCAAATTACCAGTTTATCTAATAACTGTGAAACTGATAAACTCCAGCAGTAAAAACCTACCACCAACAAAATAAGGAAAGGAATGCATATAAAGGAGATGTGTGGCAATCTGCCCTTCCTAATATGAATAATGTTTAGTGAAATATGGGCCATTGAAGAGTGTGGGAGGCAACAGTTCTCGAGCCAAACATGCTGTAATTGTTTACTAAAAGCTTTGTATGAAACAATTTCTTTTAAAACTATGTAGCATCATAACGTTTCTGAAATATAAAAGTTTAATTATAGTACTGTTCTGAATTTCATGCCATGGAGTACCCATTTAGCAATATATAGTTATTCGCCCCAATAAAAAATTCCTGCCAAACAAGCTGGCACGGAGGCAATTCTATAGGCCTGTATTCAGGAGGTGCCCAGTTTGAATCTTGGATGGACACCAGCAATATGACTGAGGTTTCTGATATATTTCTTCAGTCCCCTCAGGCAGATGCTAGGATGGTACTTCAACAAGGTTTCCTTCTAAATCCTTTCTGATCCTAACCATCATATCATCCAACAATATATATTCTACATACAAACTATCTCATCCAATACCCCCAACTCTCCAAAATGAATAAATTTCCTGTTAAGGAACCAACAAATGCATAACTATTGTGACATAACTCCATTAAAGACTATCATAAGCCACACTGCCCAGTTCATATCTCCACAGCCTGTTTCACTAAAATCGATTTTATTATTATCATTCCATATGACCGTGTCTTCCAACTGGTAGATTCTCATTCAGTTATATTGTTGTGTGCATTCCTTTATTCCTTGGTTCTTCAATACACATTCCGAAATTGTGTGAAAATTTGTTACTGTAAAATAAAATAAATTCCCCACTCTCTTGTCTTACTCTAAAGGATACTCTCATACAGCTTCCATGACACTGTTATTAGTTGCAGGAAATGAATTATCAAGCAAGGGTGGCTGAGCATCCGCTGATAACGACGGCTAAAATTAAACACCCTTGTAATTTTCAATCCTATACGCCACGTAATGCAGTGAAAATATCTTCACGCTTATTTCACACAAAGTGTCACAAAGTAGATCAAACGTCAAAATGGTCAAATAAAATTCCACAAACACGAGATGTTATTGCAGCTGTTTTACAGGTTATAGGAATTTATCGTGTAGAAATATTACCTGTAACCTCTATTAGTAGTTCGAGGTGGAATTTTAAATACAAATACTTCTGATTTAACAAGCAACACACTTTCATAAGTCTCCATCTTCACTTCAGTGCACTCTGCTGAGAGGTTTCAACATTATTAGAGATACAAAAACACAAGACTACCAAAATGCGAGAGTTGCAAACCCAACCAACCCAACGGACACAAAAACCAAAGGTTAGGAGATAGCTCAATGTAATCCGTACTGTTTCCGGGATTGCATGCAGATGACACGTCTTCAATGCAGTAATCCGTGATATCAATTGTAGCGGCCGACTACTGATTGCGGGATATGACACAGTGTAATTTGGTAGGCGGGTTTGTATTCCGGAAGAAGTAATCTGCCCAATACCTCCGTGAAAATCTTAAATATTACTTATTGACAGATTCCTCGTAACTGGGTAATTTACAATACCTGGCGTACTGATTTCCCTATATGCGGCAGCATATGATAAAAGTCGCCACTATAGTGCAACAGACCATCACAAAGGTCAGTGAAGATGTGTCAGAGAAAGACAAAATAATGGTCATTATAGAAACGGTACACAACTAAATGAAACAAAATGACTACTAGAATTCATTAGCCGCTCAAAGTCATAGCATGATAAAAGTCGCCAATATAGTGCAACAGACCATCACAAAGGTCAGTGAAGATGTGTCAGAGAAAGACAAAATAATGGTCATTATAGAAACGGTACACAACTAAATGAAACAAAATGACTACTAGAATTCATTAGCCGCTCAAAGTCATAGCATTTAATACAAACGGCACTGGAGGAGGCGCTATGAGATTAATAAACAGCTGCAACACTTACATATAGATGTGGCTCTGCACTCAGAGACACGTCTGAAATCTCATTAGAGATTCTTCATTCCAAATTTCACTTTTATCGAACTGGCTGCTTCCTGGGAAGAACAAGTATTCCCCATAACCATGCAGACCTATGCTGTATGTGCGATACGTACAAAGGCGAGGCGAAGCCTATTCATAAGAGACAAACCCATCCTCTCGTCAGAGATGGTACATAAGAACCATGGAAAGGCTCAACTGCAAAAAAAAAAAAAATCTGGCCATGCTCCTCCAGGGTCTTGGTGCCAAGTCGATCTGATTGGCGGTAAACCGCCAGCGGTAAAGGAACTGTGACTCTGACTCTGAGCAATGAGTTCAAATCAGCTGGTCAGTGAAGAGCTGGCTGATAAGTTTATTAGTGAGTGAGATAACCGCTGGGGTTTCGTTGTGGGCTGATGCTGTGAGAAACTGCGAGCCGAGGCCGTTGACAGTTCGGAAACCCAGAGGAAGGGGAACGTATGCCGTTGGAAGCCGTTACCAGAAGACCGATGAAGACACAGCAGCTGAGAAGACTGAAATGTGTGCCTTAGTAGACTGTAAAGTGTATGAATTAGTGAAACGGTCATAAGTACTTGTAGTCATGGATCTGTAAGAGTTCAATAAATCCAATTATCAATTCAACCCCCGTTTGTAGTCAGTAAAATCATGGCAACTGGTGTCAGAAATGGGATAACTGGATTAATGGGCTCGAATTGTATACACTGGACTGTGATACCGCCATATTATGGAGGCGGAACAAATGATGGTATACCTGCTGGCTGAAATAAGAATCAACCGAGAAGAATTGATTACCAACCAAGAAATTCTGGCTAAGATGGAAGCCAAGGAGACCGCCAATCTAAGGGAAACAAAGCTGAAATAAAAACCAATAAAAAAAAGGACGAAAGCCCAGATAGAGACTAATAACGAGAAGTTTTGAGACCCTTCGAGGTACCCCCTCCTTCCGGATGGATATCCATCAAGTCTAGATAAAGGCTGTTCAAGAAAAAATTAAATTCAAGGTAAAAAAATAAAGAAAAGATAGAAGCAACGATTGAGAGCGGCAAGGTAGATATGTGGGTCAAGATAAGCTCTATCCGAGCCGAGCTGGAAGAATCCATGAAAGATTGGGTGGAAGACGTCTTTGTGTTCTTCGACCACAAGGCCCTAGGGATCTCAGGCCGAGAGAGGCAACGAAGACCCTAGTATATCCCATGCGACTAGGACTTGAGGCCAAGATAGCAGAAGTCACAGACGATTTCCCGGAAGGACTCGAAACTGCTAGGCGCGAGTTGAAAACCCAACTAACGTAAGTCGAAGCTCGGGGCGCCCGACAGTTCAGAAAATATTCTACCACTGAAGCCCGGGAAGCGCAGGTCTTACGAAAGAAAGGGAACCGGGGCGGGCGTGGTGCAGACCTCTAAATTCGAATGATCGAACTCATGAGCGGTGTTCGAAAGCCAGTTCGAGACCATGGCGGAAAATAAGGGCTGGACACCTGGCGACAAGGCCGCATATCTGATATCCGCCTTAAATGAGCACACCGCACACATTGTATATATATCGTTCTCACTGAGGCGACGTGCGAAGAGATTATTGCGCTGCTCTAATTGCTACGGTAACCACCGTCCACCACCTGGCGGAAGCAAAACGTGCTCAGCCGAGAAGGGTCCAGCACGCCGGGGAATACGTGGATAGAACTTCAACAATGATTTTTAAGGAAAGAAGAAATAATCGCACAGGGAGCCTACTATAAAAAGTGAAAATTGGAAGTAGTGAACGTCTTCACATACCCAAGCATCTCCCGGCGGACTTCGAGTGCGTTCTACTGGGCCCATTCCTCAGTACAACAACAACGGCAACACGAGCCATACACGATATAAAAGGAAACGCACACCCGTTTGACCAATAATAAACTGGAAGAACGCCCCAGCTTACGAAATAACAAGGAAATTAGCAAAAGTATTGCATAATTATCTAAAATTACCAAACACATACAGTGTCCAAAACTCCTCCCATTTAATGACAGATTTACAAACTATTACACTTAATGAGAATATGCGACTATGTTCATTTGACATTGAAAACATGTATACAAATATGCCGAAAACAAACACCATAAATATAATAAACACTATATTAGGAAAAAACCATAAAATCGATAAAGAAAGCCACAAAGAAATAATACATATATTAAAAACAGTATTTGAACAAAATTATTTTCAAATTGACGAAGAATACTACAAACAAACAGATGGACTAGCTATGGGAGCCCCAACATCAGCAATAATACCAGAAACATGTATACAATATATGGAACACACACAAATATATCCCATTCTAGTAAAACAACAATTAGTGGCCTACTTTAGATATGTCGATGACATATTAATAATATATGATGAAAAAATAACGAACATAGAACATACACTCAAAGAAATTAACGAATTGCAACCAACTATAAAGTTCACCATTGAAAGAGAACAACAAGAATCTATTAACTTTCTAGATATAACAATACATCGTAATGAAGATAGTTTGCAATTCGCAATATATAGGAAACCCACACAAACAGACATCATAATACCTAACAGTTCGTGCCATCCATTCGAGTACAAATTGTCAGGTATTAATTACCTAATAAATAGACTCTACACATACCCAATAACAGAAAAAGGAAAACAAATAGAGAAGAACACTATTAAAAACATACTACATAACAACCGATACGACACAAACATAATCAAAAGATCAAATCAGCCAAAACGAAAACAAAAATCAAACACATGACGACGAACAACAACAACAACAACAACAAACAAAGTGGGCCATATTTACATATAGTACAAAGGAAGTAAAGAAAATTACAAAACATTTTAAAGACACACAGATAAAAGTAGCATTCCGCACACGAAACACAATAGAAAATATACTCAAACACAAACCACAATTAGATAAATACAATAAAAGTGGCATATACCAAATGAAATGTGTAGATTGCCCATTGAAATACACTGGGCAAACGGGCCGAACACTTAACACCAGATATAAAGGACATATACATGATATTAGAAATAATAATAGCAATTCCGCGTACTCAAATCACATACTAAATACGGGACATGCATACGGAACAATAACAGACGTAATGGAAGTTGTAACAACGGTAAAGAAGGGTAGACATTTAAATATATTAGAGAAATACCATATATATAAAATAAGTAAGAAGGGCCTACACATGAATGACACACACATAGAAACATACAATCCCATATTTCAAACGATACACGAAATCTATACAGACTAACGGTACCTCTCTCTCCCCACTACCCATTCCCCTCCTACACTCACCAACATAAAACACAGCACACAATACATCAGACAGCACACGTAGTAAAGATAGCAGCACGCACACAAGGAGACTATACAGAGTACGTACAAATAATAGTATAAACACATAAGAAAACATAACGTATATAAGATAGTAATATGAATATTTGTATATTACAGATAACACCTGAACAGTGCTGAAAACAAGAAGTAGCCGCTGCAGCACTATAGACATAGGGCGGGTAACCCTGAGAATTTTGAATTTTAAAATATGAAAAAAAAAATTAAAGAAATTTTTAAAATCGGAATTGAAGATTTTAAAAGTGCCAGTTTATGAAAATCAAATTGACGTGTGTGGGTTAACAAAGATTTTGTACATATCAGACAGGTATCAGCGGGGAAGATTCTGATATATCGAAACCTGTTAGTAACGGCGAAATGAACAATTGGTGAGACTAGTGTTTTTTAAATTTTAAACTACGTGCAGTGTAGTAGCTACGTGAGAGTATACACCTGATGATGGCCTTTTGCGGCCGAAACATGTAGTGTAGAAGAAAGCAAGACGAAAGAACTACAATAAATTGTTGCACTTAGGACGGAGTTTATGTCATATATTGTGTAGAGTGTAACAGGATGCTTAAATATAATGTTGTAAAGAAGTAACTCTTTCTGAAGCAAAAATTGTGTCCAAAGCAAAATAAGCAATAGACAACTACCGGGAAAACAAGCAGCAAGGGAAGAAGAAATCGAAGCAAAATATATTAATACGATACTCAGTTGAATTGTGGCTGTTCTGTGAGATAACGAAAAAAATATTTACTTGCTGGCTACTAGCTTGGCTTATTCTCTGACCCTAAAGAATAAGGCAGTACGTTTATCTGACACGTCGGTGAACTTCTACCCGTCTACACAGCGCTACATCCCAGAAGATCGTATTCTTCACTAAAGTGGCTTCTATTCCAGACGATTTGATGACTAAAGCTGTTGCAGGAACGTCCGCAGATTCCTCAAGATATATTTTACACCCCAGATGAGAAGTACTGAATGGTGCATGGTCATGCTTGTGAACATATTACAGACGAGAAAGGCCTACATAATGTTTCGGACAGGACTTAACTGCTGGCAGCTATGACAGTTAAAACTCACTGAATTGTTTGCACAGTAGTGCGATTCATATTATTTGTTGACCAGGGAATATTTTTAGTAACTAGACGCGTTCACGGCTCTGCGCTTCACCGCTACCAGTGCATCACCGGCCGCGAAGCGCACGCGATTTTTGCCGATGACTCAGCATGCTGGACGGCCGATAACGTTTGGAATTGAGAAAAATTATTAATTTGTAGACCTCTGCACAGAATTATGTTACACAGGAGGCAATAGGGTACATTTAAGGGAGTTTTTTTTTGGGGGGGGGGAGCAGCCAACAGTTATCAGTACCATGATCCATTTGTTCCCAGTTAACAGCTGGGCGGCGCGTCGTAGTTCGTTAAGCGTGGAACAAAGTGCGTTTAGTGTATGGCACTTACGTGAAATACGGATCTGCTGGAAAATGTCGGCGAAATTTTCTTGATGAAAGAGTTCCCAGCAGACAAACAAGTCATAATTTGGTGAATAAACGTAAACAACGGGGCTCTTAATAGACAAGAAAATAAAACATGAGTGTCGAGTGCTTAATGAAGAGATGTTAGACGACACGGGGGTCAGACTTGAACATACAACTAGAAAATCGCTGAAACGTCTAGCTCAAGAGAGTGGACTATCAAAGTCTATTGCAAGAAGGGCAACACTACTGCTTACTTTCGCCTGTGTGCTACAGAACAGATAAGATTTTTCTCAAATTTTGGTCTCCTCTTGCTACGCAGAGCACGTTATGTATGACAGCAGATGTGTTGAGACTGAAGTTAATACTCGTAATATATTCAAGGTAACCAAATTGCACATATCACCGTGAGTTCAGTCGCATAATGAGTAAATGTATAAAGGTGTTTTCGTAATGTTGAAATATGGGAAATGGTTGAGTTCAGTTTCATGCAATGATGAAACGTGGCCTTGATCTTCGTACTTCCTCAGCATAATTCCACCGTCTCTGCCATGGGTCGTAATTATCATTTGCTTTAGCGAAGTAGGTTGGCTATTGCTCTTGCTGTACAAGTGAGTGAATTGTCTAGGACATTAATATGATGCGACAACTTCATCACAAAACATTTATAATTATTCTAGTTAGTGGTATCAACACACGAAACGTGTGGTTAGCACGAAAGTTACACGCTTGAATTTCGTTAATTTTGGAATTTTACAGAAATAAGGCCGTGCACCGATAACCGGAAGCCCATCTCTGGTCGTCAGAAAAGAAGTATTTGTGGGCTGTTTGTTGCTGTTCAGGTATTATTATTATTATTGTATGAACTGTATTTTTCTGAAAGGACTGTAAACATACTTGGCATTCATAAATACTAAACCATAACTGCCACAGGTTAGAAAATTGAAGATTTAGGTTTTGATCTATTTGTAGGCGGCATGAGCGAATATTGCTGAGAAATGAGATAGTGAAATGAAGGAGGGACATGTGAGTGACAAAATGCCACAATTCTTATTCATATGAACAAAATAACAGTATATAACAGTAGTTACACATGCCACTTTGCTGAACTAA